GTGTCACTGTGCTCAGCGTACACGGACGATTTCGTGTCTTGCTTCTCTCAACTGGTTTCGTAGACACAATTCTGTGCATCAGTAAAGACCAGGGCTACCTAGACGCGGCCCGGTGGACGGATGCCAGTCCCCAGAGTGTTTATTTGCTGGGACTGTGATAAGGACCTTGCTCCAGTGTGTAAGCACTTCTAGCTCAGCTGACATTTTTTCTCCCAGCAATGCTCATTCCGTGTTGGAGGCAAACATTTCTTTTGTGGTACATGCTCTTTATTGCAGATGGTAACCATTATCAATTTGTGGAACAGGTACTTTAAATAGCACTAATATTTGCACGTAATATTTCTCTTTATAAAATTATTTATTTAGGGACCGATGTGGTGTAGCAAGTTAAGCCTCTGCCTGCGATGTTGGCATCCCATATGGGTGCTGGTTCGTGTCCCGGATGCACCACTTCCGATCCAGCTTTCTGCGCTGGCCTGGGAAAGTAGTGGAGGATGGCCCAGTCCTCGGGCCCCAGCCACCCACGTGGAAGACCTGGAAGAAGCTCCTAGTCCCTGGCTTCGGCCTGGCCCAGCCCTGGCCATGTGAACATTTGGGGAGTAAACCAGCAGATGGAAGATCTCTCTCTGCCTCTCTGTAATTCTATCTTTCAAATAAAAAATAAAAGGCAGAAATACAGAGAGATAAGGAGAGACAGAGAGATAGATCCAATAAACAAATCTTTTAAGAAAACATTCATTTTCCTTATTTGAGAGACACAGAGAGAGGAAATGAGCTAGTATCCTCTGGTTTACTCCCCCAGTGCCTGTCTCGGCTGGGGCTAGGGCAGGCTGCAGCTGGGAGCCAGGAACTCGATCAGGTCTCCCACGTGGGTGGCAGGGACCCAGCTCCCTGAGCCCTCACCCCTGCTTCCCAGGGTGTGTGTTAGCAGGAAGCTGGGATAGAGAGCCGGGCTGGGCCTGCAAGCCAGGCACTGCGAACGGGGTGCTGGCATCCCACACAGCCGCTTAGGCCCTGCTCCCTCGGTTTTCAGGACCACAGATCCGAGGCCAGAGAGGTAGAGTGGCTTTTACAAGGACACAGCGGCAGAGAGGGGCCTCCTGCCTGGGCCTCCTGACCCTTGGCCCCTGGTTCCTTCTCCTTGGAGGGAGGCCTGCCCTGCCCTTCCTACCCGGCAGATCTTCCGTCTCTTTCATGCTTGTCTTTGCTTGGCCGTGAGCAGTGTTCCTGCCTGTTGTCTTTTGGGGCTTGAGAGAAATCCTTTTGGAATGTCCTGTGCCTTCTCCCTCCAAGTTCCCGGCTTTGTTCAATTGTTCACCAGAAATTCCTACCCTGTTGGGAGGGGCCTGGGGGGCTGTTAAAGAATTTGCCAAAAATGGTGCCACCAGCTCAGGCCCAGCCCACAGCCCCGGCCCTTTGCTTCTCCCGCAGATTTCAACTTCCAAGAGGGCATTGAGGATGCCATTGGGGTGGGGGTGCCACCACCCCTGGCTGTGTGTTTCCCAGTACAGTAAGCTGTGTGCAGATGGGAGAGGCAGCAGGGGAGCCCGAGGGGCTCCGGGACAGGTGGGCTGAGACCGCAGAGGCCTGGGTTCGCTAGGAAAGGTTCGGGGAGGAGCACATCAAGAACGGGATGAGTTTGTCTCTCGTGCATGCATCTTGGTCAAGACAAAAAGCCAGGGCTAGTGTGGTGGTGCAGGGCGTTAAGCCACAGTCTGTGATACCAGCATCCCATACCTAAGCACGGGTTCGAGTCCTGACTACTCCACTTCCAATCCAGCTCCCTGCTGTTGTGCCTGGAAAGGCCACACAAGATGCTGCCGAAGAAGCCCTTGGGCCCCTGCCATCCGCATTACAGACCGGGATGGAGTTCTAGGATCCTGGCTTTGGCCTCACCCAGCCCTGGCTGTTGTAGCCATTTGGGGAGTGAACTAGCGTGTGGGAGATCTCTCTCTCCCTCTCTCTCTTCCCCTGTCTTTGTCATTCTGCCTTTCAAACAAATAAATCTTTTTTTTTAAGATTAACTTTTTTTATTTATTTGAAAGAGTTACAGAGAGTGAGAAGAAAGATAAATAGATAGATGAGAGAGAGAGAGAGAGGTATCTTTTATTCACTGGTTTACTCCCCAAATGGCCACAATGGCCAGGAGGGCTGGGCCAGGCTGAGGCCAGGAGCCAGGAGCTTCATCTGGGTCTCCCATATGGATGCAGGGGCCCAAGAACTTGGGCCATCTTCCTCTGCTTTCCCAGGTGCATTAACAGGGAGTTGGATCAGAAGTGGAGCATTTGAGACTTGAACCGAACCCATATGGGATGCTGGCATTGCAGCCAGTGGATTAACCCGTTACACCACAACGCTGGCCCCAAATCTTTTTTTTTTTTCAGGCTTCATTTAGTTTCTAGAATCATAAAATAGTGATGCTAGATTATCTATTTGAAAACGACCACATCTGGTTCCCTGCTAATGTGCTTGGGAAAGCAGTGGAAGATGGCCCAAGTGCGTGGGCCCCTGCACCCACGTGGAAGTCCTGGAAGGAGTTCCAGGCTCTTGGCTTCAGCCTGGCCCAGCCCAGGCTATTGTGGTCATCAGTGGATGGGAGAACTATTTCTCTCCCTCTCTCAATCTGTCACTGTGCTTTTCAAATAAATGAAATGAATTTTTTTTTCAATGAAAATGCCACCTTGCTTGTATATTTTGGAGGCCAAGTACCCCTTTCTCTTGGAACCCATTCGATAAATATCAAGATAGAAACTGCACTTTGGGTGGAAGGGCCTTGGCTGAGGGCAGAGCCCTGGGTTGGAATCCCAGCTCTCCAGGGGTGGGGTCAGCCACTTCTCGCTCCGTGTGTCAGTTTTCCCTTCTGCAAAATGGGGTAGTAAAATGCAGCCTGGCAGTGGGAAGGGTTGAGAGCTTCAGGCCACGGCAGCCTACCTGGCACACGGCGTGGGTGCCCAGTCACCTGTGGCGTGAACAGCCTTCCTCAGCCACGGGACACCTCGGCTGCTCCTCGGTGCAGGGGGACGTCCCAGCAGGCTGCGGCATTGTTCTGCTGCCAGAGTGCTGCTTCCTGTTTACACGGACTGTGCAGATGCACGGCTTGGACTGTGGACGTGGGGGACTTCCTGTGGCCTCTCCAGGGGCGCTTCTCTCGCTCGCAAGGGAACCCGTGGAAGGGATTGGTGAGCAGTGAGGCTCTCTCCTGTGGGCCAAGGGCAGAGATTCTGTCCCTGTAGGGTGTAATCTAATCCCCACCGATGCGCAAACCTCATCTAAGCACCTAGGAGACCCTATAATGACCTGTGTAGTCACCAGGGGCACACCGAGGGTATTTGCAGAGCCACACCGGGTAGTCCTGGAGGTAATTATTGTTGTTGAGTGCACGCTCTGCACCCGCTACTCTGTAATAACAAGGCCAGCTGCCAGTGTTCGAAGAGCCGCTGTCTTCCATGCACTTTATCTTAATTCATTTTTGAAAGAATTTTTAAATACTAAAGCCTATAAAAAAGATTTATTTGTTTGTTTATTTATTTATTTGGAAAGCAGAGTGATAGGGAGAGGGAGGGAGAGAGAGAAAGGGAGGGAGATCTTCCATCCTCTGATTCACTCTCAAATGCCTGTAACAGCTGGGGCTGGGCCAGGACAAAGCCAAGAGCCAGGACTCCACCCAGGTCTCCCATGTGGGTGGCAGGGGTTCAAGTGCTTGGCGTATCATTGGCTGCTTCCTGCTGGGTGCAGCAGCAGAGAACTGGGGTGGAAATGGAGCAGCTGGGACTTGAACTGGTGGTGTGATACGGGATGTGGGCATCCTAAGTGGTGCTTGATCTGCTGCACCACAACTTCCACTGCTTTATTATTTAAAAAAAATTCATTTAGCTGGCGCCATGGCTCAATAGGCTGATCCTCTGCCTGCGGCACCGGCACACCAGGTTCTAGTCCCGGTTGGGGCACTGGATTCTGTCCCGGTTGCCCCTCTTCCAGGCCAGCTCTCTGCTGTGGCCAGGGAGTGCATTGGAGGATGGCCCAAGTGCTTGGGCCCTGCATCCGCATAAGAGACCAGGAGAAGCACCTGGCTCCTAGCTTCGGATCAGCGTGGTGCGCGGGCTGCGCACGGGTGCGTGGTGCGCCGTGGCGGCCATTGAGGGGTGAACCAACGGCAAAGGAAGACCTTTCTCTCTGTTTCTCTCTCTCTCTCACTGTCCACTCTGCCTGTCCAAAAAAAAAAAAATTCATTTGAGAAAGGGGGGAGAGAAAGAGGGAGAGAGAGAGAGAGAGAGGGAGAGGTCTTCCATCTGTTAGTTCATTCCCCAGATGGCTGCAACGGCCAGAGCTGGGCTGATCTGAAGCCAGGAGCCAGGAGCTTTTTCTGGGTCTCCCATGCAGGTGTAGGGGCTCAAGCACTTGGACCATCTTCCACTGCTTTCCCAGGCCATAGCAGAGAGCTGGATCGGAAGTGGAGCAGCCGGGACTTGAACCGGTTCCCATATGGGATGCTGGCACTGCAGGCGGCTGCTTTACCCGCTACACCACAGCACTGGCCCCAGGGCCTGTTTTTTCAACTGTAAAATAGCAATAATAGTGTTTTCCTTAAAGAATTGATTTGAGGCTTAAATGAGTTAATACACACAGAGCACTTAAAACAAGGCTTGGCACAAAGTCACGAGCTTCATGTTGGCAATGGGCACTGTGGCAAAGCCGATTAAGCTGCTGCTTGGGATGCCAGCGTTCCTGGAACTCCATCTGGGTGTCCTATGAGGGTGGCAGGGCCCAAGCACGTGGGCCATCTTCCGCTGCCTTCCCAGGCACATTAGCAGGGAGATGGATTGGAAGCAGAACAGTTGGGACTTGAACTGGCACCCATATGGGACGCCAGCATTTCGGGCAGTGGCATACCACATTGCATCACGACGCCGGCCTCCTTGTAACCAATGTTAGTATAAAAACTGCGCCCCTATTGTGAGCCAGAACTGAGCTAGATGCTGCAAACCTCAACAGCAGTGTCCTAAGCAAGCATCTTACACTTTAATTGGGAGAAATCAGACCATTTGGAAGGGGGCATCTCCCAGAGGCAGGAAACACAGACCTGGAACAGGAAGGGGATGGCTTTGAGTCACCAGGCAGAGGGCTTAGGAATCAGGTCACTCTTGAACCATCTCTTGAACTGGATCGAACTGGATTCTAACAAGCTGCATTCCTGTGCATGTTCACCTGGGGAACAGGTCGCTGTTGGAGTCAGGAGCCATTAGACTAAGACCAAAGTCTTCTCCCTGGGGAGGCAAGGGGTGCAAGAGACAGAGAAGGGGCTGTGCTGCATGCTGAGTTGGGCCCAGGGAGGCTCCCTTGTCCCCCAGAGATGGAATTGGAGTAGGGATGAATTCCATGGGCCAGGGGTTTGGTGCCTTCCTTCTTCCTGTCCTGGGACCATCATGGTGAGCTCACGGTGGGGATAGTTGTAGGGACAGAGGGTCCAGGCCACAGCAGAGCATGGTCTCTAAGCACCCAGGAACCTTGTGGGCCTTCTGCATTGTCTCAAGGTCTGCCCCATTCCACACTCTGACTTGCTATTGGCCTGCACGTTGCCAAGGAGACAGGAGAGTTTCAGCAATATGGACTGGGTCTGAAGTTTGTAACCACACAGAAATGGCCCCTGGGCAGCCTGGGGAGGAGGCCTGAGTCCTGGGGTGGGGGACTCTTGATTCTTAAGGAGGCGCCAGGCCTGGCCTGGGACCAGGAGGAGGATCTCAGAAACATCAGGGTCTTGGGGGCCCTTAGAGGTCAGCAAAGCTGCTGCACCCATGTTCCAGCTGGCGAAGCAAAAGCCTGGAGTGGGGAGCAGTGTATTCACAGTCTCAGGGCAGAACTAGGCTGGACTAGGCTGGGATCCTGGTCTCCAGGATGGTGGGCAGCTGGGGGCTGGTTTCCCAGCACCCGAATCAGCGGGGTCTCTGAAGGTTTCGAGCCCTCTGTGGCCGAGGGAACATTCTGCCAGATCCCATCAGCAAGATCAGCAAGCAAGGCCGAGGGACAAAGGGACTCACTCATTCCAACCCTTCCGGCTCTTGCCTGGCCCAGGCAGAATCACTGTTCAGAGACGTCCCAGAAGGCTCACCTTGCTGGCCGCGACTCTGCCTGGCGGCCTGTCCTAACTCCTCTCGCGCCAGCCACCAGAGCCCTCTCTCTGTCTGCCCTCTGCCCTGGTCATCGATAGCTCACGTTAACAGGATCAGCAGGTGTGACGTTCTCAGAACGCAGGGCAGGTGTGGGCCTAGCAGGGAAGCCACCGGTGAGGACGCAGCAGAGCAGCTGGGTTCAATTCCCGGCTCTGGCTCCTGACTCTGACTTCCTGCCGTGCAGACCCTGGCTGGGTTTCCTGTCACATAGGTGGGAGCAGCGCATGGAGTCCCTGGCTCCTGGCTTGGGCCCAGGCCTAGCTCTGGACGCCGTGGGCATCCAGAACTGTTCCTACCGCATGAGCGTGCTGTTGTTCTGCTCCCAGGGGACTGTGCTACAATCAGCAATCCTGGGAAGGCAGGAGGGACTGGGAGGGAATGGCCGGTCTGTTTCTCCACATGGGGAAACTGAGGCCAAGAGAGGCTCCTCCCCCTGCCCCTACCTCAGTGGCCCATTCGAGATTCCTGAGAACTGCAGGCTTCACTCTCAGCCTCAAAGTACTTTTTTAAGGGCAAATTTTTAAATTAAAAAAATTGATTTATTTATACGAAAGGCAGAAAGACAGACATCTTCCATCTGCTGGTTCATGCACGTGGGTGGCAGGGACCCGAGGGTGTGCACTAGCAGGGAGCTGGAATCAGGAGTGGAGCTGGACTCAAATTCAGGGATGTGGGTGTCCCAAGTGGTGTCCCAGCTGCGGCACCGAGACCTCCCCCCTCACCACAACTACTCTTTTCAGCTCACAGAGCACCGTGACATTGTTGAATTTGCTGTTGCCTTAGAAAAATCAATCCTCTGGCTCTCTCTTAAAGACGGTACCACCACTGAGAGCTGGGTGCAGACCAAGCCGTCCCTCGCGACTCGCAGTCTGCACACTGCCCAGCCGCCACCAGCCCCGTTCACACGTGTAACTGTGCAGTGACGCCCTTGAGGTTTGCAGCCCCCAATCCGAGCGGCCATTCCTCTCCCCTCCCCTGCAGCGCCTTGGAAAGAGCATTTTGCCACAGACACTTTATTTTCCACAACTGCAGCCTGGTGGACATGTGTCCATTTCACAAAGGGTGTCAAGGTCACCACCAGCTAGAGGGTTTGGGGATGGGCTCGGGGGCGCTCCAGCCTGAGCGGATTGCTTCCCAGAACTTGGGCAGCCGACCTAATGAAAAGAGCCCGTTGCCAAACAAAGGGATCTCAGGCAGCTTTATACCTGACCTCTGGGGTAACACGGGGGTGAGGCTCCGGTAAGGAGGCTGGCACTGACAGCTCGGGGTGCTGGGCTCGCCCAGGCACTGCAGAGCGCTGGCACCCCTAGGGGACGGCACCATGCAGGTACTGGGGGTGCTGGGGGTGCTGGTGTCTGGGCAGGGCACACTGGCGCTGGGGCTGGAGTAAGTGCGTGGTGCAGATTGTTCCAGGTGGTCCAGGTAAAGAGAGTTGGCGGCTCGCTCCAGGTAGTTGGCTGCAAGTCTGGGCAGGCTCAGCGACTTGGGGCAGCTGTTATAGAAGGCGTTGGTGGATCGGTCCAGGTAGTTGATGCCTTTGATGAGCTGGTCCAGGAACGTGGGGCTGGAAGGGTCCGAGGGACGGTCTGTGCAGAGGAGGCAGTGGGGGCTGCTGCGGTAGGCGGGCTTCTTGGCCACGTTGCGGTGGCTGGCCAGGTGGCTTGTCTCCACGCACTTGGAGTTGTAGGGCCGGCCCATGCAGATCTTCCGCAGTGGGAGTCTGGGGGAGCCGGGGTTGAAGGAGCGATCCGAGTGGCTGCTGCAGCTGCTGAACTCGGAGCCACTCGGGGTGCGTGGGCGCTTGAGGCTGTTCGCCCCATTCAGGCTGGGGCTCTGGGTCCAGCCTGGAGCTCGGGCTGGAAAGGATGCGTTGTAGGGCTGCCTCAAGCGGCTGTGAGCATTGGAGTGGCTCACCTGGCGTCCAGACATTGTCCCAGCTGGACGGATCAAGCTTCACGACTTTGTCCCGACTGGACAGATCAGGGTGAGTTGCCTGGGCTGGGAGGAGAGAGTCAGATCAGCTCACAGGGGCTCCCTGCCACCTGCCCCAGAGGCTTCCTCCCCAGGTGTCCCCTGGAAGTCCGGCCTCGCTCCCTCTCCCCACCCTCGCTTCTTCCAAGAACAGGAAGGAAACCAGGAGGAAGTAAAGACCCTCAGGCGATGGAGAAAAACAGGGCTGTGTCTTTTCTTTTCACTCTAGCCCACATTCTGAAATTCTTATTCACCTTTGAAGCTGGGGCTCCAGCAGACCACAGGGACTAAGGACTGAATCTCTAACGGCGAAATTCCAAGCAGAGATGGGCTTTCGGTAATCTCAAGCAGCTAACCAGCTGAGCAACGCACCCTCACGCTAGAACAGCGCGTCTGCGCGTCACCGCTGCCCCCGTGCCCCCGTGTGCTCAGCCCCTCCCTGCAGCTCTCACAGGGACTCATTCGCTGCCCGCCACACGGCAAGGGGTAGTTCTGACTGTCCCAGTCCTGGTTGACAGATGGGGAAACTGAGGCTCAGAGAGATGACGTGACTTGCCTATGATGACTCAACTTGTCAGTGCGGGGGTGCGGGTGCCAGGGTCCTGTCTGGGGTATGTCCGGTGGCCCCCGACAGACAATGCTGTGTTGTCACGGGTGACCTTGGCCCCCCTCCCAGTCTTCTGGCCATGAGTTCCCAGCATACCTGCTTTGCCTGACTGCATGGGGGCGCCCGTGGGGAGAAGGTCGATGGAGAGGGGTGCTAGCTAATCGGTAACCCTGCTGACCTGGGCTTCGGGGGAGGCCCAAGGGAGAGCAGGAGCAGCCGATGTGACAGGGCAACTCCGGGCTGGGCCGGCAGGACCAGAAGGTTTCAAGTTCTTTGGCCTCGATCCCCTTTGAGTCATCTCACAAGAGGAGGGGCTGTGGGGTTCCCACTTCTCCTCGTCCCAAAGTGGGCATTTCTGGAGCCCAAGACACGCCCAGGCCGAAGAAGTGCCTGGTCTGTTTAACTCCTCTTATCCCCGGGCCTGCTCGGACACAACCAGGGCAGGGGAGTCCCTGTTGTCCCCTTTGGTCCCCCAGTCCTGACCCTCCCACGTTTCCCCCACCCCTGCCCAAAGGAACGTTCGGACTTCTCTCTCTGGCTACTGCCAGCTCGCTGCTGATTCTCCATGGCTGCCTGGCGAAAGAGGAGGATTTGCGCTCATCCCGCCCAGAAAACAGCTGCCTGCCCCTCTCGCAGCCCACAGCCCCTCAGCTGCCCTTGTCCTTTGGGTCTGAAATGGGTGGAATGTCCATACCCAGGGCCTCTTCCCTCCCTGGTCCAACCCCACCCCATCTCCGCCCTTGGACAAGCAGGAGGCGACTGAGGGCTGAGCCCATGGGACCTACCCTCCCTGCCTGGCTGCTGGGCCCTCTCCCCTCTCACTCTGTCTTTTGGGAGGTAGATGACTTAGACCTCCTCTTGCTCTCCACTGGGGATACCCTCATGCCGCCACTCCAGACTGCTGGCCATGTCATAGAATCATGGAATCCTAGAGCTGGGAGGGGCCTCCAGGGTCATGCGGGTCAGGCCCCTGCCTCAGGGCCAGCGCCGCTTTAAGCCTGCTGGGACAGATGGGCTCTATTTTTGAAATGAGGCTGGGGTGGCCGTGGTCCAGAGTTCCTTGTTGTTTTCCTCGGGTTTAATTATGCTGAGAGCCAGAAAGTTCTATGCTAGCCCAAACATAATTCCTGCTTGCTGTGGTCAGCATCAATTTCTTTTCCTATCTCCCTGGGTCAGCAGCAAACAGGTATCAAGTCTCAAGTGCTGTCCCTGCAGCTGGCCCATCCATGGGCATAGGGACATAACGCTCTCCTGCCTTCTTGCCTCTCCTGCCTGCAACCCCACGTTGCCCAGGGGTGCTCGCCTAGCAGTTAGAACACCCACGGCCCACACTGGAGGGCCTGGATCTGAAGCCTGGCTCCGGTTCCTGATTCCAGTTTCCAGCTAATGCAGACCCTGGGAGGCAGCGGTGATGCCTCAGGTGGCTGAGCGCCTGCCACCCACGTAAGAGATCTGGGTTGAGTTCCTGGCTTCTGCCCTGCCCAGCCCTGGTCATTGCAGGCCTTTGGGGGGAGTGAGCCAGCAAATGGGAGTGCATACTCTGTGTCTCTCCTTCTCAAAAAATAAAACGACCCCACACTGAGCATCTGCTAGGTGTTGGGCTCTGGCCAGAATCCGAGGGCCCTCGTGGGGTAAATCTCAGCCCTCATTTTAGAACCCCAGGGCCCTCTGGCTTGTCGGGAGCACCCAGTACAAGTGCTGTGGGTGTGTGAACGAAATTCTCCTTGGAGGCCTGATGGTTTTTGCCTCTCTCCATCATTTTCTTTTCATGAATATGGAAAATGCAGTTTGGCTTTTTATTCCCAAAGATTCTCAAAGTTACTGAAAACTTAGAAGACAACGAACTCCCATTATATATATAAATATAAATATAATATATATAATGTACATAATATATATTATATGTATCTAATATATAACGGGAACTATATATATAAAATGGGAAGCATATATAAATATATACATATATATATATGCTTCAATCAAGTGCATGAATTGTTAGCGATGTTGCCGTAGCTGTCACCTGCACAATTCTGTGACTAACTCACAGACAGAAGTATTTTTTGCCCTGGATTATTTCCTCATGTCCCTCCTGCTAGGGGGTGTCGAGGGCATTTTCTTACATATGGATCCTTAAGTGATCAAATTCAGAGGTTTTGAAAAATTTCTAAGAATGTATTTATTTTCATTTTATTTGAAAAGAGGAGAGAGAGAGAGAGAGAGAGAGAGAGAGAGACACTGAGATCTTCCATTTGCTAGTTCACTCCCCAGATGCCCACAACGGCCAGGCTGAAACCAGGAGACTGGAATTCCATTCAGGCCTCCCACCGGGTGGACAGGACCCAGGTCCTCAGGCCATCGTCCACTGCTTCCCAGGCGCACTATCAGGAAGCTGGACCAGGAGCTGAGGAGCCTCAAACCAAGCATTTAGATGTGGGGTGTGGGCATTCCAAGCGGCAATTTAATCACTGTTCCAATTCCAAATATTTCAACTCGATCCAGCGTTATTATCTATTCAACAGTACGCGTTCCGATTTTGCCGGATGTCTCTAATGTTCTTCCCAGCAACCGCTTTTCTAGTCCAGGACCCGGGCAGGGTCGGGCACTGCACTCACCCCCATGTCTCTCTAGCTTCCTGGAAACTTGAAGAGTCTCTCAGCCTTCTTCTGTCTTCTAGGATGTAGACTTTTATTTTTTTTAAAGATTTATCTGCTTTTTTTGAAAGGCAGAGTTACAGAGAGAGAGAGATCTTCCATCCACTGGTTTACTCCCCAAATGGCCATAACGGCTGGAGCTGGGCCAGGCTGAAGCCAGGAGCTTCTTCCGGGTCTCCTATGTGGGTGCAGGGACCCAAGGACTTGAGCCATCTTCTACTGCTTTCTCAGGCCACAGCAGAGCTGGATTGGAAGTGGAGCAGCTGGGACTCAAACCTGTGCCCATATGAGATATGGGCACTGTAGACAGTGACTTAACCCGCTGTGCCACAGTACTGGCCCTTAGATATGATTTTTAACTGACACATAAAAATGGGGTACCATGTGATGACCCAGTGCCTGCATGCCTCGTGTGACTTCAAATCAGGGCAAACCTCCGTACTCGGTCGTCATGTCTTCATGGGACAGTGACATGATTGAAGAATGCAGGTGTGTTTGGGGAATGCTCTCTGGTGTGGGTTATCTGCTGTTTCCTCCTGACCAGACCCAGGACCACAAAGCGCTTTAGCACACAGAGCCCAGTGCACAGTCGCTGGGAGCGGAGGGCCTTTCACCCTGGGGTGGGGCGTGACAGTCCCTGAAGCAGGGAGCCTGTGGGAGGGATCAGAGACCATCGCTGCAGGACAGAGAAGGGGCTGTGGGGGAACCCAGCGCACGTGGGAAGGAATGGGGGCAGCTCCGTGGGGGGCCTGGCCAGGGCGCCATTCAGCTCCAGGCTGGGGCCCGGCGGGCAGGCGCCCAGCTGGAGGGCTGGGCCCCAGGCGTTTGTCCTGAAGGTACCCAGGCACCGAGATCACTGGCCATTTCTGGCCTGAGCACTGACAGCCGCTGGAAATAGCTCTGGGACAATTATTTCGGGAGGAATGTGCTGTTTCCCCAACTTCCCGGAAGGTCAGGGGAAGTCCCTCTCCAGCCCCCACTCCGGGAGACCTCCAGGCCCGCGGGGGCTGCAGAGGCTCTCGGAGCCAGGAGGGGCTGGGAGTGGGGAGTGGAGTCAGGAGGCTCCAGCCCCATGTCCTGGTCAGGGAAGGCGGCCTCTGTACTAAGATCCTGGGCTCTCAGGGCCCAGCCTGCAGTTAGGGTGGGCCGGCTGGGGTCTGGCTGACCCCGAGCCAGCACACGTGACTGCGAGGACTGGGAGGTGCCTGCCCCACCCCTTGTCCAGGCCCACCCCTGTAAGGTGATGTCCGAAAAGCACCTATTGGGTGCCAGAGACCCTGACATTGTCGTGGCCACGCCTGTTGCTCCCACCCTCTGGTTTAATCCTCACAGCACCCCTGACAGGCAGTGGTTTTGTCTTCCAGACCAGGTCCTTGAGACAGAGAGGGAGCAAGGGACTTGGCCACGCTCAGCCAGTAGAGCGGGAATGAAACGCCCCCTTCTGGGTGCAGAGCACTGAGTGAGGGAGAGGAAGCCATCTCCCCACGCCCAGGTCTGGGGGACTAAGTGGTCTCATGGGCTGAGCCTTGGGGGCCATCAGCCTGGAGATGAGCGTGCGGGCAGCTGCAGCCCCACCCTTACTAAGCTCCTATCCTCCACCTCCTGGCCAAGCCCCGCTGCCTCTCCCTCCCTAGTGCCGCGGGGATGGCCACCAGGGTCTCAGAGCGTCCTGCGTGGAGTGGAGCGCTCCACTGTGCACAGTCCCCAGCCTCAGCTCTCCCCTCCTCCGCAGCCTCCGTTCTTGGCTCCTTGGCTTCCTTGCAAACCCAGCTGCCAATCATAAACTTTCCAAGTTGCTTTGCCCCTCCCACTCTCCCTTTTCACCGGATTCCCTGTCCCCCGCAGGGCCACAGTCTCAGCCACTGCCCTGTGTCCCTCCTGCCCCCCACCCCAGGCACAAAGAATTCAAGGTCATCTCATTCCTCTGCACTTCCCCAGTTAGGGGGTGCCGTCTTGTGCTCCAGAGACCTTAGGATCCTGCGCATTAGAACAAGGCTGAGCATTAACCCCTTCCCTGCCACTCAGCAGTGTCTTCCTGCCCTGGGCCTGAGATGCTGGGAGGAGGGGCCTCTTGTCCTTTCAGCCACATGGCTCTTGAAACATCATGTGGCAGCAAGCCCAGCTCAGCAGTCACACGTGAGGAACAGCTAGTGCCAAGGGCCGTGAGACCGCCCGAGCTCTCCCACCCTGCCAGAAAGGCACCTGTGCCCAGGCTGGGGTCACTGTGGCAGTGTCACTCACCTGGCCTTGCGCTGACCTGCACACGGGGCTGAAAACCTCCCCTGGGGCCAGGATTCTTGCCTTCTCCCCACCTCTGCACCTTCCACCTCCTCCCCCTCAATGAGTCACCCTCCCATCATCTCACACCCTCAAAGATAAGGGCCCTCACCCACTGCCAAAAACAGGCATCCCAAGCCCACATGTGGGAGGCACAAGCCAGGACAGATCTGCGCTCAGGAGCAATGGGCAGGTGGGGCTTGGCAGGAGTCCCAGCCACCAGGAGCTTCCCTTCTGTCCAGGTTTTGAGGCTTCACACAGTCCAGGTGGGGACAGGACAGCCATCTTTATGGGGCTGGGGAAATGCCCTCTAAAGGGGGGGGGTCCAAGTGAGGGTCATCTGTAGGCCAAGTCCAGCCATGCCGAGAGGAGACAGGACTCAGGGGCAGTAGGAGAGCTCGAGACTGGCTGTGCTGTGACCTGGGCTACGTAGCTGAACTGCTCTCAGCCTCAGTCTCCTGTCCTGGGAGACAGGGGTAAGGAAGGCGGCTGCCGTGACCGCCCTGCATCAGTAGGGCACATCTGCATAGTGCTCCCTGGGTTCCAGGTGTGGCCCTAACTGCTCCACCCACATGCACCTGCTGTGGCGATGTGATGGAGCCAGCCGCTGCCCACTGTGAAGTATTCTGGAATGTGGCAGGCTGGTTGTTAGCCAGGGGCAGCGTGCAATCAGCTGTGGTGTGTTTACAGCACGGGAACTAGGTGACAAATCCAGACTTCTTTGGTTTACCTGAGACCTGGTTCCCCAGCACACCACGGGAGCTGAGTGATTGATGCCAAATGTTAACCTTTGAGCCTGTTTCTGCTTCCATGGAATAATAATAATAATAATAATAATTATAATAATAATAGCATATAGAGAGAGCGCTAACTGTATCCTAGGTGCCACGCATTGTCTCGTCTGCTCCAGATGACAACCTTACTGCTGTTAACAGCACCCCCACTTTTCAGATGAGACACTAAAGGGC